TCACGATGAAGAATTGGCTTTGGCTTGTGCTGATGCAAATATGCCAGTCCTTCAACAACATCTTGGCATAGTAGTTCACTTTGATTGGCATCAAAGGAGGAACTTGTAAAGTAGTCCTCTAGATTTCCCTCCATCAATTCTAACACAGTGTACACAAAGTCCTTATCACTGTCATCGAAGAAGATATAGCTGACAACCTTTTGACAGTCTGCCAATGCGGTCAGATTTCTTATCTCTCTTTTATCCTCTGGTCGCACAAGCCGTAGTTTATGAATCTTCTTGATTGCAACTTCTCTTCCATCGTTTTGGYTGATTCCTGCAAAAACATGACCAAACGAYCCACCTCCTATCGGTTCTTTATGAAACCAGTAGGTRCCAAYKGTGYCAACATTTTGCTTTCTTGAAACTCTTTTAAGTTTGCCTACGTGAGTTTTGGAATACGAAGTCCATGGAATGATCATGGKCACGCTGTCAAGGTCGAATTCTTTGGTCAGAAAGGAGTGAAGTTSTTGAAAATCTTTGCACAAATCCATGCACATTTTATTATCCGCCCCGTGCAAAAGTAGTTGTTTTGCAATGCTTACATGAACAGATGWTAACGTTGTATCAATAGCCTCAAGATTAAATTGRGTKGAGCTACTATCTTTAAGGTCATCGATTCTCCGCTTTTTCGTAGGAGGTTCTTTAAATCCACTTTCTTCTTGCCAATGAAAGGYTTGCCCTTGATCGTGCAGCTCTTTAATGTTCTTACAACAATGGAAAAGCCCACCATCAAGGTCGTTATTGGATGGTGATTTCGGTGCCTTCAGTATTTTTTCTATAAGCAAACTTTTCCAGGTAGCACGTGTGGACTCATCTTTACATATAGTCTCCATCAGATGTTTCAATATCGATTGGTTTATCTCACAAGCAACTTCAATCAGCGCACTGGCCAGTTTAAATTCTTCTGACTTCAGTGCACTTGTCAATATAGATTGACCTTCGCTGTCAGAGCTCCAGACATCAAGATGTAAAGCCACGCATTCTTCAAAAAACGCTTTCTGATCATCGCCGACATCCGGGAAGAAATGTCCTGGGTTGATCTTAAATACTTGCAGTTTTGCAGCATTTAAGAGAGGAGGCCGTCTTTCTCTATCAACAGTTTTTGTGTTCGCTTCTRCATTTATTAAGAGTTTAGCGGCGGTCCATGTTTTGCATAGATGAAGAGGCGTTTGATCCTCTTCATTCCTTGGGTTTGGCGACATTCCGGGCTTCMATATGTAATTGAATATMGTGTCAAGAAGAACTTTAAAAGTAAGGCCTTCCGTCAAAGGATCGTCATAGTTTTGATTTGTGGGGAGAGAGAGGGAAGCCCATAGATGTAGAGGAGAGTTAAGTTTGCAATCCATCTTCTTTAGGACATTTAATTGTTCACCGCTTGTTTTGGAAAACAATTTAAGCAGTTTTAGAGCACTYGAACAAATAACATCTCGAATYWTCMCATCATTCAYAGATAGTCCACGTKRTAWCAATTCCATAATCAAATGATACACAGTCYTTCCACTTSYCGTTGTTTCACTAATGAGCGARCCATCWTGWAGAAGAAACTCACAAATCTCCACCACTGTCATGATTCCACTCCATGTGTCTTTYTCGCTTGCTAGTTTCCATGCTTGTTCTGAAAGACAGAAATGTAGAGGCGTCTCTTTTTCCTGATTTCTGATGTTGGTTCGTATCCCATGGTTTCTAAGCGTCTCCAGTACTTTCTTTACGTTCTCTTGTGATACCCCATGGAATGGAAGMAGAGTGGCATAATGAAGGGCAGTGTTTCCATACGAATCGGCACTGTTGGGATTGACACCTAACATCACCATTAAATCCATKGCTTCTGGTATTCTTTCGTCGTCTAGTAGTGCATTTAAGGAATCGATACATTGCACTTCATGACTGGCGTATGTGTATGCAACAGATATAGCATTCGGAAATATCTGTCTTCTATTCAATGTATTAGAACTGTGAAAGTAGTTTGGTAATATTGCATACAAATAGCTCAATGCTGAGGTGAAGATTGCTGAATTACGTATGCCATTCTTGATAAAAAATGATAGTCTTTCTGAAACATTTCTGTTATCCTTAAAACTGTTACAACAATGTCTCTCAACGAAATACGATAAAACGCTCATGGCGTTATTATCGGTATCGTCTACAACAGCCCCCTTGCGAACAAGCGTCGCCGCTATAACTTCAAATATTGTACTATCATCAATTGTTGTAGCTGCAGAGAACATTGCTGTTCTGCCATACATGTCTCTTGCGTTTACGTAAGTAGTGTCTACGTAATTGAGAAATGCACTAACGCACTGCTCGCATAAATGTGACCCTTCGTCGTAGTCGAAATATAGGTCATCTTGAAAATAATCTTTCTTAGCCAAAATATGAATCAAGGCGGTTTCCTGCTGATTGTTTCGAAGAGTTAAATCTCCACCATGGTCTATTAACAAGCGTACGGCGGAAGGACTCAATGCATAAAACAAGGGCGTTTGTCCTTTATCATCTGCTAAATTAACATTAGCACCAGCGTCAATGATTATTCGTGCCAAACTTTCCAGTTCTTCATCTTTATTCATTCTCTCAATGGCATGAGAGAGCGCAGTTCGACCTTGGTTATCCCTTTTATCAATATTACAAGAAGAAGCCACTTTGCGAACAAGTTCTTCTCTTTCATCAATGTCATAGTATATATCGTCTCCCTCTTCCAAAATGTCGTCCACATATACCCCTAGCAAATGAAATATGGCCGTTCCACCATTGTTGTCTTCAACATCCATATCTGTGGGGTTTAATTCGAACAGTTTTTTTGCAACTTTATACATTTTATAATCCAAAGCAATATGTAGACTTTTAATCTCTCCATGATTGTTACAAACATTGACATCGGCACCAGTGTTTATCAATGTCATTGCAGTGTCCTCGTTGCCCCATTCAAGTGCTATGGTTAAAGGATTTTTTCCAAACTTGGAACAAGCGTTGACATCAGCACCTTTCTCAATCAACATTCGTGCAACCTCTTCGTTGTTATTTGCAGCTGCATCGAATAAAGGAGTTTCTCCATCTATATCAGATACATTGACATCAGCACCTTTCTCAATCAACAGTCGTGCAACCTCTTCGTTGTTATTTGTAGTTGCATTGAATAAAGGAGTTTGTCCATCTTTATCAGATACATTGACATCAGCACCCTTTTCAATCAACAGTCGTGCAACCTCTTTGTTGTTATTTTTAGCTGCACTGAATAAAGGAGTTTGTCCATCTTTATTAGATACATTGACATCAGCACCTTTCTCAATCAACAGTCGTGTAACGTCTTCCTGGTCATTTTCAAGTGAATAAAAGAGGGCCGTTTGTTGACTATGATTTCTTTGATTGACTTCAGAACCTGCATCAATTAATATTTCAGCAAACCATTTATTGCCCATGAATGCAGCAGCCATCAAAGGTGTTTGTCCTTCATCATCTGTGACATTGGGGTCTACACCTTGAGTAATTAGCTCACGTGATAGTTCATTATTGCCGTCGAGAATAACGTTTATCAAAGGAGTGGTGTTTGTTGAAATTCCATACCAATATCTTAATAACCAACTCATTATTTGATTGATCTCCTTTGTTCAGTTTATTACTATTTTCGATCGTTTCCTTTTAAGATTTGGAAATGTGGATCATCATTTTCTCTTCTCATCTTAAAGGTGGACAGTCAATCACTAGCATACKTTTAACACTTGGGTCTGAAGAAGCAAGAATTGTAACATTCAATGATCACCAAACATCATAAACATTGTTGAGAAAAACAAAATTGCTGGATCCTCAAAGGAAATTCGGGAAAATTGCCATAAACGTTTCCAACCAAATCAAACCACCCGGGAGTAAGTTTCATTGCACGTTGTATTTTTATTTCACAGTTGAATTCTTAGAAACAAACAGGATTTGAATTGGATAGTAACGGACATGGTAACGCGTTAGCCAATTAGGTCTATTCCATCATTTTTGATCTCTAAAATATATATAGCATCCAACACCATATAAAGACAGCTTCAAAATGTTTTGTGTTCTTACCAAATGTAAGCTGGATTTTTAATCATCACTCAAAACGAATCCAAGGTAAACTGCTATGTACTAAGCACTTTGTTATATGTCTAACGATATCACAGTGCTCGTCATCACCACATTCCGTTGCAAAGCTTTCAAATTTGCTTCTGTAGCTACATGGCTTGCTTTTGTTTCTTTCGTTGAGTTCTTAAAACAAAGGAAATCAGTTTCATAAGATGCGCTTCGCCGTAAAATTTTCAGTTAAAGTGACATGGTCCACCAGCATCCCTTTCGAGCTTTTGTTTATGTTTGAAAATAGAAATACATCGTAATGTAAGCAAAAACTTACTCTTTATTATTACTTTATCCTATATGAATGAAGATGCTTTAAGATTCGACTGTTAAACCGATGGATGGAAGCGGATTACGAATGGATATTCGAAGTCACCTCATTTTCCATATATGAAAAATCTAAAACACGACCGCATTGCATGCTAGTGGACCATGTCCCTTTAAAATATGCAGGCAGAGCGTTTCTGAGTGAGATTTCCAAATTATGATTAGTTTACCATTTGACTGGCGGCTATTTTTGATAATTTTTACTTCTCTTTTATTGTAGAAAGATTCAAAAAATACCTTAGAAAAGAAAAGCAGGGGCGGACCCAGCATTTTGTAAGGGGAGGTGCTTTTGTCATTAATAATAGAGCTAATTTGGTATGAGTGGGAAACGTACGGTAGAAATTACCGCACGGTTACCGCACAGTTACCACACCTGGACTGCTCAATTTTTGTGAAGCAATGAGACACTAGAATTTGGTTACAGTACGATTATGGTTACAGTACAGTACCGTTCGTTTCCCACTCATACGAAATTGACTCTATTACCTAAAAACTAAGTGTAGCAGATAGAACTCAGATCATTTTTGTTAGCTGCGTATTTTCTAGAGCAAAAACATAAGGAAGTAAATTGACTTTTATTGCATCGTATCTTTGACTACACTTCTCAAATACTAAGCTGCATATAGCAGACACATGTTGTGGATGCTACTAGCGTTTTCTTGATAAAAATACAATAGGAGTATAAACAGGACAAAAAATCTTTTATACTGATATATAAAAAAATTATGTCGTTCGAAAAGTGAGGGGGGGGGGGGGGGCACCTCCCCTGGATCCGCCCATAAAAAGGTATGACTTCTGAAGGCACAATTCTAAAACTCATGAATTATTCAGTAGACATTCTTCCAATGAGCATTCAACTATGGGTCACATGACAGGATCTATAACTCAAGTTATAAACACTGATTAATTAAACATGAGTTTTATAACTAACCGGTTCAGTTAGTTATAACACTCATGCATAAAACATCAGTGTCGTAACTGATTTATAGACACTCGATGTATGCCCAACACTAGAAAAGTTCTCAGTTTTAGACTCTCATCATAGAACTTCACTAGGTCTCGAGTTAAAATTACTTATTTGCAGAGTCACAGTACACTAAAACATAGTGGCGCGTGGATGTGGGAAACCAAGTTGATTACTGCTCATGCTCAGATGGAGATATCTTCATCAATTATTCATTTTTAATATTTTTTTATTTATTTCATGTAATTATTGTAGTTTCTTAGGTTTGGGTTTTAGAAGTCATTTAAAAAACTCGTAGTTCGTGTTTTATCGTGGATATAAACACTCGGCCTTCGGCCTTGTGTTTATATCTCACGATAAAACACTCCTACTCGTTTTTTAAATATCACTTATACAATGATCTTTAATTTCAGACGTTTCGGCTTTGACGGCTTCATAAGTGAATGCAAATACAAATTGGTTGACCAAGAGTTATAAAGAATAGGCTCCTAGTTTTTTCGAATTCAAAGCGAATAACCGCTGTTTTACTTGACAGCAGATTCTACTACGCAAAGAACTTGCCAAAGACAAAAGAGAGCACGAGAAAATGTTGTAATTACAGTAGCGCTAATAAGAATCTACATTTTCCCCCAGTTGAGGCTAACACTGCTCATAACTTAGTCTTATGGGAATGCAGGATTAATCTCAGCTCGGGGAATATATGCAAATTTTCAAGTCTATTGTAATAACGACATTTTCTCGTGCTCTCTTTTGTGTTTGTAAGGTGAAATAAAGCACCGGTTATTCGCTATGAATTCGAAACTGGAGTATTGAAAGATAACGTCCTATACAACCATTAGTTATGTTGTTCTTGTGATTACGCATTTAGAAAGCTTCTATTGTTCTGCGCGTGTTAAGATTATTTAAATTAGTCAACACAATCAAACCATCGTTAGTACCATGGCTATTAAACTGACGAAAAGCTAATTTCTTAAAGAGTGACCTATGTAAATCGTACAAATATGTACGATTGCCGGTTAATGGGTTTTAAACTGTAAACATTACAAGATGAGCAATATTTTTCATATTGAAAGCACTTTTTTTTACAAATCTTTGATTCATCCTATTTTAGTTAGTTTGCATTTCAGTTATAGAAATAGCGCTACAAATGATTGAAGTAAGAAGTAGGGAAGCAAACGGCAATAAGGTGGTAATTGTATATCCATCCATCTCTCATTGGTTTCAGTCAAAAGACATGAAGCGCGCCCCTTCAAAACACCATCATTCAATTCATTATTCGATTCTTGGTCGATTCAACATTACATTATTGAAATCAAATTTGAATTCAAACTTCGAGATTTGATTGGATTATTGATCAAATTTTCATATAAAGCCTTCTTCGTATTTCGCTTGTAAACATGCTGGTCTTTTGTAATTTCTTTTGTAATTTCCTTCTTATGCGCATCAGTGGCGGATTAAGGGGAGGGGCCGTTTGGGGCAAAATTAAATTCTCGTACAAATTCTTTTTACACCCGATTTCAAATGAGTGCGAACTCTCGAATTTTTTTGGAACGCTAAACTTTCACTCGACCGTCATTCACTCGACCGCTTGGTAACCAGGCACACGTGTTTAGTAAGTGATGCGTGACTTTCTGTAGCGGGACTTTCGCATTTAGAATATGGAGAAAGAAGCGGTGGTCTTTGTTCGAGATACCTGTGGTCCTTGTGTTTCACAGAACATTCTACTTCACTCATTGCAATTGAGAACAATTAGAAGAATATCAATTAAACTTGATTAAAAAATATAATTTTCTATCTGATTTGTAGTTTAGATTTGGCTTTATTAACTTGTAAACATCAAATGCATGCAWATAATACTTTGCACAATTAGGTATAGCTTTGCAAGAACCATGAACTTGAGGGTGTTGTTTTCTGCATCTTGAAATGATATTCTTATGTTGAACTAAAATACACATTTTTCTTTTCTTTCGTTATGTAAACAATTTAAGTTTACAATAAAAAAATTATCAAGCAAGCGAAAAAATAATTGCAACATTGTTGTTTAAATTAAAGGTTGAAAACGAAGTAGCTTATGTTTAAATGTAACCTTCTTTCGAAGAAGTAAATATATTCTTATTCGTATTACTGTAAAAACCCTGATTGATTGAATACAAGTTTACAATGACACTTACATGTGTATGTACAGCAACATTTCCTGTACGTTTATAAAGTTGTCGAATTTTACAAACAAAAGTTTTCCCTACAAATAACGCTCTACAAGTTTCCTTAATGCTTGAACCGTAAATAAGTTCATGGTAAATAACCTTCCACCGAATATCGTCCGATAACCTCTTCATTTTAATCAGTAAACTAGTAAAATCAACAAAGAACAGCCTACGAACACTAAAAGCGATTTAAAGTGCGCGCGCTTGTCAGTGTTTGTCACGCTATTTATTTTTCAACTGTTTCGTTGTAATTGTGAGCTGAGAAAGTTAAGTTAAACCGAAACTAGTTTTTACAATAAGTTCGTTTTGTAGTGCGATCACAAACCGTAGGAATTTAGCCCACAGACATACATTAACCATGGTTTTTATACTTGGATAATTTTACCCGCTTCAAGCTGTGCCAGGTTACCAAGTGGTCGAGTGAATGACGGTCGAGTGAAAGTTTAGCGTCCGAAAAAAAATTCGAGAGTTCGCACTCATTTGAAATCGGGTGTAA